TACGTTGTAAAAACTTAGACTTTGATTAATCGAATTGAGAACCTTTTGGTTTTTGTGCAAGTTGCGACTTGTGTTGAGTTTGGTGGATTCCAAGCTCGTGAGCTCTTGTATCGATTGAATAGTCACTTCAATCGTGGTCGGGCATCTACCTTTTATACCAATCGAGCGTTCCCCAGGTGTGGAATCGTCCTTTTGGTTCCGTTTATCCAAGTTCGTATTAAGAGCGCTTCGTTCTTGATTCGAGCTCAATCGATTCTTTGATTGAGTCGTTTGCTGCGTGACTTTGATAAACATACACCCCCCAGGGGCGTATTAAGTGGTATCAGAGCCCCGTTCAAGTCAGGGCGAGGAAGCAGGCTTTGTTTGGCAACAAAATAGGACGTTTACAGAATTAGTTGTGGCTATTATGCTCAATTCTGGAGCTGCTTTTTCTTGGTGGGGTGATATTTTGTTGACAGTTTGCTATGTGCTAAACCGTCTTCCAAAAACAAATAGAAAAGAATCACCCTATGAGATCTTGAAGAATAAGCCACCTAATCTGTCTTATTTAAGAACGTGGGGCTGTTTGGCCTACGTAAGAATTCCATATCCTAAGAGGATTAAATTGGCTAGTCGAGCATATGAATGTGTCTTCGTTGGCTATGCGGCCAATAGTAAGGCATATAGATTCTATGATTTGAATGCTCGTACTATAATAGAATCCATTGATGCTGATTTCTTTGAGACACGATTTCCATTTAAAACGAGAAATAGTGGGGGTAATGTACTACCCGCTATTAGAGATAACGGAACTAGTGGGGGTGTTGGTTCTGAGGATGAACTCAGAAGAAGTAAAAGAGCTAGAATCTTTAAAGATTTTGGTGATGACTTTACTACAGTATTCACCCTCGAAGATCCAAAAAGTCTACAGGAAGCATTAACTTCCGTAGATGCAGATTTTTGGAATGAGGCCGTTATAGATGAAATGGAATCGTTAGAAGCTAATAAGACTTGGCATCTAACAGACTTACCTCCTGGCTGCAAAGTCTTAGGTAATAAATGGGTTCTAAAAACGAAATGGAAACCTGATGGTGCAATCGAAAGGTTCCGAGCTCGCCTAGTAGTTAAGGGCTACAGGCAGAGAGAGAATATAGATTTCTTCGATACCTATTCACCAGTATCTAGAATAACATCCATTCGTGTAATGATTGCTCTTGCTGCCTTGAACAATCTCGTGGTACACTAAATGGATGTTAAGACCGCTTTTTTGAACGGTGATCTGGATGAAGAAATCTATATGGAACAACCAGAAGGGTTTGTTATCCATGCCTCGAAACTCTGTAAGTTAGACAAATCATTATATGGTTTGAAACAGGCTCCAAAACAGTGGCATGAGAAGTTTGACACTCTCGTTCTCTCACATGGCTTTAAGGTGAATGAAAGTGACAAGTGTATTTACTGCAAGTCAGAAAATAACACTTGTACTATCATATGTTTGTATGTAGATGACATGTTGATATTTGGTACAAATATTCACGTGGTCAATGAAGCAAAAGCCATGTTGAAAGAGAGCTTTGAAGTGAAAGATCTGGGAGAAGCAAAGTTTATGCTTGGAATCCAGATAACTAGAACAGCAAATGGTTATTCTCTAGATCAATCTAGCTACATAGAGAAGATCTTGAAGAAATATAACTATTTCGACTGTAAACCTGCGTGTACTCCGTATGATGCTAGTGTAAAGCTATTTAAGAACACTGGAGACAGTGTAAAACAATCAGAATATGCTAGCATCATTGGCAGTCTCCGTTATGCTGCGGATTACACTCGACCAGACATTGCATATGTCGTGGGATTGCTTGGCAGGTTTAACAGCTGTCCTAGTAGAGAGCATTGGAATGCTATAGAGAGGGTCATGAGATACCTCAAGAGAACAACAAACCTTGGTATACACTATCAAAGGTTTCCTGCTGTACTAGAAGGGTATAGTGATGCGGATTGGAATACCCTATCAGATGACTCCAAGGCAACCAGCGGGTATGTTTTTAACATCGCTGGTGGAGCTGTATCTTGGAAGTCAAAGAAACAAACAATCCTAGCTCAATCAACTATGGAATCAGAGATGATAGCACTAGCAACGGCTAGTGAAGAAGCAAGTTGGTTGAGAGGATTGTTGTCAGAGATTCCCCTATGGGAAAGACAGTTCTGCCGTCAACGAAGAAGTGTCACCAGCGCACGACGAGGCCAAAAAAGCGACTTTGGAAATTGAAGGAACGACGACGAGTAAAACGGAAGATTCAGAGCAGGCTGACGATGGGCGAATCATCTCGGTGACGAGAGTAGCTGAGCTTCCCGTTCTTGTCGCGAAACAGAGGAAGAGAGAGGGACAATTGGTCAGACTGATTGGCGAAGCGTCGCGCAAATCCAACAAAGCCTACACGTTACAAATTGCTTCAGGAAGCTCTCTCCTTGATCAAAAGCAAACAAATCGATCTGTGTGGCAGAATCAAAGTCGAGTTCCAAAGCCTCTGGAACTGCAACCGCAAGAACGACAACGCGCTCAATTGGTTGGGGAGATTGGGCGCAATCCGACGCAAACGACCGCTGCAGAATCATTCTTCGAGATCCAAGGAACGTGTGGGATTCAAAAATTCGACGAGAAGGTGTTTGGATTTGAAAACCCCAATTTCGATTTGGCTTTTCTGGGTTGCAGAAATTCAAAATCGGGCGACGGCGGGAGAGTGAAATCTGACGAATTTAAGAACCTGGTGATGAATCGATGCTGGAGAAGGGATCAAAACTTCAACTGGGAGCCTGTTGAAGCATGTGGAGTCGTTGAATTGGTCTATGGATCCTTTAATCGAAAACCCCCAATTGTGACGAGCAAGAACTTGTGCCGACCTGCAGTCCGGCGACCTAGAAATTGCTCCGATCAAATCTCGGCGAAATTGAACAACGAGGAAGGTTTTTTTCGAACCCAGGAAGAGTTTCCAACTGCTCTGCAAGTTTCAAAATCCCTGGAGAAGCTTGGAGGTGAGTATGCAGCTGAAATTTTTTCGTCGAAAAAGATGATCGAGCAGCCCACTTTCGATCCAATTTGGGATCAATTCTGTGTATGGTTTGAGCAAAGAAAGGCCAAAGTGTTGAGGGCAACACTTTTTCAAGAGGGAGGGCCTGATATGATCCCAAATGGTCCATTATACACGTTTAATTTACTTGTCGAAGAAGCAATCGAAGTTGGGAAGAAGAAGGGCAGAATTTGGCCAAGTCAAAATCCGTGTTCAGGGTACATACTTTGGAGGCATGGTTCTCTTAACTGGCTTGGTAGAAATTCCATTTCAAGGGTTTGTATTGTAGATAAATTTCCATGTTTCCAATTATATGCTTTGTGAAGCCAGATGATGTCATTAAGATTGTTTTCCAAGACCTCAAAGTTGCTACCTCAAAACTGGAAAACTGCCAGAAAATGGTTAAGTCTGGAAACTGTTTTGTGAAGCCTACTTTGGAGCTTAATTCGAGGAGTATGGATCTTATTCAAGTCCAAAGGGGTCCACAACATGAAACTAGGTATGTTTGTGAACAAAGGGAAGGAATTGGATGAAGAATTGGAGTTCGGGAAGGCCTCGAACAAAAGGCGCGAAGTTAGTACAAAAGCTGCCTTTTGACTGTTTTGCGGGCAGCTTACTTGTGCTTCAAGAAAGGAAGTTTTTGTCCGAATTTTGTAACCTCTTTAGAGTAGAATTTTACTTTATTTGTTTCCTTGTTCATCTAGGTTTGCATTAGGTTTATTTGCCTTTAAATACTCTTCTATTTACGTTGTAAAAACTTAGACTTTGATTAATCGAATTGAGAACCTTTTGGTTTTTGTGCAAGTTGCGACTTGTGTTGAGTTTGGTGGATTCCAAGCTCGTGAGCTCTTGTATCGATTGAATAGTCACTTCAATCGTGGTCGGGCATCTACCTTTTATACCAATCGAGCGTTCCCCAGGTGTGGAATCGTCCTTTTGGTTCCGTTTATCCAAGTTCGTATTAAGAGCGCTTCGTTCTTGATTCGAGCTCAATCGATTCTTCGATTGAGTAGTTTGCTGCGTGACTTTGATAAACATACACCCCCCAGGGGCGTATTACAGGGACAGATTAGGGACATGTCATTTGTGGACCTTGTAAGGGTCGGGACGGGTCAGGTTTTGACCCTGTGACCCTTAGCAACAACATATATCTCACACCACATTGGACCTTTTTGTAAAGTTTTAAAAGTTATGGTACTAATTTGTAAAAATTAAAAATTTTGGGTACCAAAACGTAATTTTACCATCAAAATTTATGGACTTATTTGTAAAAAATAAATTTTAGGTACTAAACTGTAAGAAAAAATAATTTTAGGTACCAAAACGCAATTTGTAAAAAAGTAGCGTGTTGATTAGGGTCGACCCACTGACCCGGCCCGTCCCGGCCAGTGCCGTCCCTTGAGGGTCAGATAGGGACGGGACGATTATACATCTTGACCCTTCAGCAAGGTTGTCAACCCGCGGGTTGACCCGGACCCGGTCGAGCTAGTGGGTCGAGGGTTAATGGGTCAACCGTTTTAGCCCGATTTGGCCCGGAAATATGGACAGAATCATTATATTGTACTTTTTCTTATAAATTATATCAAATCTTATCTAACATATGAGTTATACATATAATATTACACCAAAATAACATATCGTACTTAAATCTATCATAAAGTGAAAATTCACACACACTTATATACATCAATATTCAAATATTCAACTTAGGATTCCAAAGATTGAGTTAGGCGAAAAGAAAAATCGGAAAATATGCGCATTTCGCAAACCAAAGAAAAAAATGACACAATTTGACCTTCAACCCGGTACCTTATAACGGTCGACCCGGCGGGTGTGTGCGGCCCTTTTTTCTCACCGGGTCAGGGTCAAATTGGGTCGACCCGCGGGTCGACAACCTTGCCCTTCAAAAACGGGTCAGGGACGGAACAGGCAAATTTTCAGCCCTACTTCTTATACATTTGCGCAAAATATTTAATGGGGCGAGAGCAGCCTCAACTATAAGCACAATGATCCCAATAATGAAAACTATGATATAATCACAATTTTATAATTGCAGAAGAAATTACGAAGTTGTGAAAATAGATTGTGAAATTGTGAAAGAGGGCTTATAAATACTTTCCATTACACGCAATTGTCGAAATCCCTCAGTCAAATCCAATCCACCGGACCAAATAAGTAGCTTGAACTCATTCCAGGCGTCCTTTCCTTGGGATTGAAGGGTAGTGGCAAGCAAAAAAACCCCAATTATTTTGCATACTATGTCTATCCCACAAAACGAGCACTAATAATTGCACAAGCTCTCTTTTCTTTATATAAGAAACAAGGCATAACCTTCGAATATATACTAACTGGCGATTGGTTCATAACAGTACATGATAAATGGATTGAACGAGAAAGTTTGTGATATATGAGCGAAGTCTTGGTCTAACCACTTGTTTATGTAGTAAGCTTGATGGGTTCACCACACAACTGCTTTAGCTCACTTTCCAAAACTTCGATCAAGTTCGACTTGGTTCTACGATAAACCCAGGCTTCAGCATCCCGGTCCCAGTCAAATCTCGACGGACCACTGCATGAGAACCAAGAGTTGAGCATTAGTTGAAGATGCAAGGGGAAGTTTTTAGCCTGAAGAAACTCCCTTTGATACCATGAGTTGCATATGGGATTCAGATACAGAAAAGTGGGCAACCAGTTAGCATAGGATGCAGAAACCAAAGATGCTCTACTTAATCACAATCAATGTTGTGTTGAATAAGCGCACCAAATAGGCAAATAAAGCTGTCACCAGTTTCCATTAATGGTGACTAAGGAAGCACAGAAGTACAATACCTAGTTCTCCTATGCTTGGGTGGAGAAAAAGGACCACAACTGTAAACAAGGTTTTTACTTTCTTGATTCTGACCAGTCACATAACTTCCATCAGAAGACACGCTTGAAAATTAAGTCCAACGTTAAGCAAATGTGAAACAAATAAACTTCACTAAGTCCAATGTTGAAATTCAAAATGTAATGGAACCAATGCATATCTGGAGATATCTATATGAGCTTAGTTGTATGTCCTAGACCAATTTACCACACCTTCAACTAAAGGTAGCATCTGTATGGAATATACAAAGAAACTAAGACTTTAACAGCAAGGTGGAGATGGTCTCAGGATCTGGTCTCATTCTTGTATTTCATTGCCCTGGTTATTTAAGCTTTCATATACTTGGAAATTCATGAGTTGCTTTCCACTACATATACTACTTTGAAAAAGTCACAGCCATCTTTGTCATGCTTGGACAAATATTTTCACCCCAAGAAAAGGTTTCCCAGCTATATTAGTCATTCTGATTCTGGGAATATCCGGTTTCTAATCCCTCCTTCAATAAAAATCAACCAAATTAGAGCACATTCACTTCACTGCAGCCAGTTCTCCAGAGAAGCAAATAAAGGTATTGATTATAGAACATATGTAATATAGAACACAAGCCAACATTCGTTGACACGTTCCAGTGTTCCCAGCATTCCAAGAAACAAACATATAAAAGAAACAAGAGAACCTTGAAAGTAATGGATATACTGCACTAAACAAACCGAAAAGTGAACACAAAACACAATTACGCAATGCAACAGAGGTCACATATCAAGACTTCTTCATAAAGAATGAACTCAATCCAAGACAAAACAGAAAGCAACATTGTTCATACCTCAGAGGGGATGACAGCCAAAGTTGCCTATTGGGAGTTTGTTTGTTCAACACATAGGTGCCTAGCTCCCCAAGCTTCAGGGTCAGAACCTCATTCTACCATATACACAAGCAACTCTTTCAGAACATAACAAGCGCTCAAACAACACTTCAGAAAACCCATTTCTGAATCAGTCTTATCTTACCCCATAGTCTATATCAAATCCATCTACTTGAACTGTATCCCCATATTCCTGCCAAACGCCAGAATAGCCAAACTTGAAGATCAATTTTCAACGAAATCGTGTAAATGGTAGTGAATGCCCCTAAGAAAGTGCTGCGCCCATTTGGTCATTACCTCCAATTTCTCTTGAAGGTCGTGAATAGTCGAATCAGCTAACTCATGAAATTCGTTTTCCTGCAGAAGAGAGCTGTTTCCACATTAATCACTACCAGCTAGAACAACCAATTCTTCCTTCAGAAAAATACACGGAAATTGAACCAATTAAAAGATCAAGAATTCGGCACTTGGCGGAGACGTACCGGTAGTCAATGGCGGCGGGGCCCTGGGCGTCGGTAGCAGAAGAGCTAGAACAGAAACTCCTGGAGGAAGCTGAAACATCGGCGATTTTGCAGTCGAAATGAGAACAGCGGGAATTGGTAGCTTGCAAAAGCAGGATCCGTGAAGAAAGCGTAGAAGAAGGGAGGTAAGGATTTCGAAGCCTTGAGAGTCGTCGGAGGGAAAGTAGCTTGGAAGCCATTTGAGCTGCTCGGAACTAACTTCGACGGGTCTCTAGTCATCTTTGTACAATCATGGTGGGTCAGATCAGCCCAATGATGTTGTGGGCTCAAAATTCGAGGCTTTTTGAAACAAAAGAAACAATGTGGGCTGTCGCGTTCTGGGGCCTAACGGTTGGGCTTGAGTAAGGGTGTCAACTTGGTTTTGGTTTCAATCAAAACCAAGCTAATAGTTATGGTTTTTTGGTTTTAAACCATTTAGCAGTTAAGTGGTTTTGGTTTTGGTTTTGGTTTTGGTTAAAACCACAAAACCAATGAGAAACCAGTAAGAAACCAATAGCTATTGCCTACGGTCCAATAGCCCTTTCGGACTGCACTGCACACGCTTGTCAACAGAAAACCAAAAAACGGCCTATAGAAAACCCAACCAGATATGAATAGGAATACCAGTAGGATCAAGGTAATAACTAAACTGGATCCATCGCTTCTTCCCTCTCTACGCTCTCCAATGTCAAGTTCCTAAAATACTTTCTCTCTCTCAATCCCTTTTATGTGTTCATTTATGAATGAGTTTGTGTTGTGCAAAAGGCTGAATGGGAATAAAGCAAGGTAGATGAATGGGAACAAAGGGGTAAATTATAAGGTTGTTCATTAGGATTACTAAAAACGTTCATGTTTGATCACTAAAAATATTTAATTTCATTCATGGTCATCAAAATTAGTTAAACATTTCAAGTTTGGTCACTCTCCGTCCAAGTCCGTTAACTTTTGCTTACGTGGCAGTCAACTCTTATAGTTGACCGTTAAATGTGTGACATGACAATAAAAAATAATAAAATAAATAAATTTTAAATTTTTAAGATTCTAGCTCATTATGCAACTATAACAAAATAAAAATTCTTTTAGTTCTCGTACGCCGCGTCCCCTAATCGTTATGGACTTCAGTTCGTCCAAATTGTTGGGGATTTGGCCGGAGAATTTGTTCGAAGAAAGGTTAGGCTATCGAATTCCGCCCAAACGCCGGCTGGAATCTCTCCGGCGAATTTGCTGTCGGCGAGCCAAGCCAACTACCTCAGGGCTCTTATTTATTATACGGTGATCCGTATTTCAATTTGAAATATCGCAAGCTAGTTACGAAAGCGATGAGATTTTGTTTCTTCCAATCTTTCCCAGTGACCAAACAGCAGAGCACAGGGATTCGGATCTCTTCAATGGCATAACCTTCCAGCGTGCTTCTGCGTGTCCAAAATCGAACCTTTAAGGGTTCCAAGATATAAAGATAATTGTTGCTGCCGCGCCGGAGCAAGAGGCGGCCGAGAGGGGAAGATAGCGGACTTCGGGACGGTGACAAAGAGGCTCATCAGAGGGAGAAGAAAGGGAAGGGAGACGAAAGAACCCAAACCTAGAATACCATCATCATATCCTTCCTGCTTATTCCTTATCCACCTTAACATGGAAATGATTCCAATAATTCATTAATCGTTGGAACCCAAACCCTCGCAGAGCCCTCATTTGCCAGGTTCCTCCTTCGATCCCCTTGCAATCAGAGGAATTGAGTAGAGAGAATCGAGCACTTCCAATTCTGCTGGAAGTGTTGAATCTCCGGAGCCTGCAGATCGACGAAGGGAGGGCGCCAGCGAGGTTGTTCCCGACCCGTAGAGAATATGTCGTGGAGCTCGGAGGCATTGAAGAGAGTTGCGCAGGAATCGAGCCACGGAATAAGTTGTTGTACGTGGAGGTTGAGGCGGCGAAGGTAGATTAGTTTGCCCAACTCCAACGAGATGTCGCTGCGGATCCGGTGACGCTCATGCATGAAATAAGGGACCAACGACAGGGGTTCAAGTCGGTGGAGTTTCAATGGGAGAATGCTCCGGCCGGCGAATCGTCGACGACGGATTTGAGGGAGAGGAGGGACGGTCCGTCAAGGGAAAAGGCGCTGGCGCCGTTAGGTTGGTTAAGGAAGTAAAACTATAGGAAGAGAAACGTAAAGGTAAAGGCAGGTTCTTTCTTCATTGCAGAAACAGGAGGACTCACATTCCTCTACTCATCGGCCGCAATCTGATCGCCTGGCTAAGGGACGGACGGGGAGAAGTAAAAGAATTTTTATTTTTTCATATTTGCATAATGATCTTAAAATTTTAATTTTTTTTTATTTTTTAATTGTCACGTCACACATTTAACGGTCAACTATAAGAGTTGACTGCCACGTAAGCAAAAGTTAACGAACTTGGACGGAGAGTGACCAAACTTGAAATGTTTAACTAATTTTGATGACCATGAATAGAATTAAATATTTTTAGTGACAAAACATGAACGTTTTTAGCAATATTAGTGACCAACCTTGTAATTTACCCGGGAACAAAGTAAGGTAGACGGATTCCCCTGTTTGGATCATGAGCCGGTGAAATGCTCTAGCTCCTCCCCTGTTTTTCTTAAAGCCATCAAACAGAGCAAAAAGAACATTGAAGGGAAAGTTAATAGGGAATTATGAATGAATGGAATTGGTGAGCGGGATGATCTGACGAGAAGACTAGGTGAACGGAGCTTAGTTGCGAGCTCGGTTACACATTCGCCAAAGTGCATATGTTTGGTTATTGGTTACCAATAATCAATAAGACCTTTAATGGTTTTGGTTTTTGTGAATTTCCCTAGGCTTGAGAGCTTTCTACCGTGGATGAATATTGCCAAAAATCAGAACACATATTAAACTGATGATTAAAGAAACAAATTCAACTTTCATACGATTGCAGTGATAGTGAAAGTATTGCGTTGTGTTGATAACAGTGTTATGATTTGTTTCAAAGTGAAAGTGAAGTAATTTAGCACTGTCGAGGGTAATGATGACTTCGACAATCTGTTCTCTATTCGAAGAATATGTTGGATAAAATTTTATGAAGAGAAAAATATAGTTATTTATTCCGTATTTGATTGAGATCCCCACAAGAATAAGTTAACTTAACTAAGATAATGATAATAATTTTTTGAATTTTGCTACAGCGGCTTGTAAGTCACCATAATTTGGACAAAAATGTTGACCTCTTCACTAATATGGTCGACCTCTTCAGGGCCGACCCTAGAATATTGGATGCCTTGTTCTAGTAACAAAATGAGGCCCAACTTTTTTATAAATTTAACAAAATAAAAAGTAATACAGAAAATAATGAACGATGAACAAATGATGACTGAAACAAAAAATGGAATAAAAAATTGATAAATTAAGAGACTGATCATTAGTCAAACAAAATTAAAACAAATGAAATCAAACAAGAACTCAATTGACAAGTAGTTATATTCACAAAATCTATGTAAACAAATATCATATACAAGACAAGAAAAATATTTAAAGAAGATATTGATATTAGTAACCTTGTTTTATAGTTTTTTTCTACAAAAGATAATCATATATATTGATTAAAATAATAGATAATCACATCTTGAAATTTAACCAGACCATAAAATCAAAGAAACGACTCGTAGTCGGGTACAATGGAAGGGCCTTTCTAGCCACCAAGTGGGCTACCCTATTACTACTCCGACCTACAAACTGCACATTAAGCCCACTATGAATCGCTAAACAATGTACAACTTCCGTGAGAAGGGCTCCAATCCGGCTATCCTTGGTATCCGACCGGTTTAATTTTTCAATAACCAGGGCTCCAATCCGGCTATCCTTGGTATCCGACCGGTTTAATTTTTCAATAACCACCTTTGCGTCACCTTCAAAGCAAACTTCCATAAATCCGGTCACCAAGCACCAACGAATAGCCTCCCGAAGGGTGAGCATCTCAACAATCAAGGGATCGTCAATCCCATCAAACTGTACCCCTTGAGCCAGCACCTCCCTAGCTTGATTCATGAGGATCATACCTCCTGCCGAAAGGGACTGAAACTTGGTTGCCCCATCCCACTAGCAGACAATTGGACTAGGGTGAACAACCTCCACTGGTTGTACGAGAGGGACGGGCAACTGTTGGGCCCTATCAATAGGCAAATTGACCCATTCCTGATACTGTTGGTGGAATTGTCGCATTAACGCTGGAATCCTAAACTGTTTGCCCTCAAAGACAACCCAGTTTTGTGATCGCCAGATCCTCCAAAGGACTACAGTGACCGCCATAAACAGTTGAGGTTGATGTATCAACATCATCAAATTTCTCAGGAATAACAGGAAAGTGAGACGAGGCAGTCCTTGGTCAAGATATTCAAGCCCCGCATAATCCAATAAGACCCTAACCACTAGACAGTCAAGAAACAAATGTTCCATATTTTTTTTATTCCGCCCAACAAACTGGGCACCTTGGATGGACCTGGACATCCTTCTCAATAAGAGCCTCCATCGTAGAAAGGATACGATTGAAAATTTGCCAAAGGAATACTTTAACTTCGGGGGAATATCAGCGTCTCAAAGCCGAATTCAACTGGCCCTATCCATCCAACTAGCTGTGGATCGCCATCGACCCTTCCCTTGATCCAACAGAACAACCAAGTGATACGTTGATTAAACAACGAAAGACTCGTTCGACGTATCATGCCAGACTAAACGGTCCTCAATATTATGTCTAGGAAGATGTATTTCTTTGATCGCACGACAAGTAGGCGGGTCAAACCACTGGTTTAATTTTAAATCACACCATCCTCCTTCCCCTTGGCAATTCCTCATTCAAAAGTTCACCAGTTTCTGGCAAGACCTGGAAATTATGAAATGGCCTTCTTCAGGAGAGCCGCAAAATCCTCTGTGCAAATCACAAATAGGAGAAGGGAGAGCGGATCCCCCTGTCGGAGTCCTCTCGAGGGAGTGAAGAACCACGAAGGTGTGCCATTCATCAGGATTGAAAATGATGTCGATCTGAGACACTCGTGTACCCAGCCTCGCCAGATCGAGTTAAAACCCATCTTGTCCAAAACCGCAAGCAGAAAAGGCCATTCAACTCTATCATAGGCCTTCTTCATGTCAACCTTTAGAGCCAAGTACTCTTTCTTGTCCCGCGTTTTGATTTTCAAGTAGTGCATTAACTCATGTCCAAGAAGGACATTCTCCACTATTTGCCTCTCCCTAATGAAATCATTTTGGCCTTCCGAGATGATCTACGACAACAGACAGGCCAGTCTTTCAACCATAATCTTGGTTATAATTTTATAGACAAACTAGCATA